TTTTTTTTTTCTTTTTCTTCCTTTACAGTTTGCAGTTGCTTGCCCTTCAAGTTGGCCCTTTCACTTAATAGTTTAAGGTTTCTTTGGTTGCATCTATCTAGATTTTTCTGCATTTTTACATTGTACTAAATGTAGGTTTTGACTTATCCACTCAGATGTGGTGTTTGTGCTCCAGCACCTGGAAGGCCACACAAATATAGTTAAAAAATGACATTGAATCACTTGAACTATGCTGATGGCTAAAGTTTTTGACAAATGCTGAAAAATCAAGGCAACTAACTAATCCTAGATACTTTTTAGGATCAAAATTTTCCTAGGCTCTTTAATTATGTACTAGTATTAAATCATTATCACATACAAAAATGAACCTGTGTAGGTGCACAATGGAGGGGGGAGGGAAATGAATCAGGTATAAAAAAAAAAATACACTAAATGAATTTTTAAAAGGAATATAACTATTCAGAAGGACTGCCCACAGTAGGCAACCTCTTAGCTCAGTTTTTTCAGTGACTACTGAAGGGTTATAGGAGACCTAAATTGAGGGTAAACAAGGACTGTTACCCTGAGGCCCAGACTTCAGAAAAGATAATCCACACCTGCTGGGGTGGAGGTATTTGCAACACCCACCTGGTTTCTTACAGATGCTATACCTAATAGCAATAGTCCACATTCAATTGAACATAGCATTTCATCCTCTCTCTCCATTACAAGTAATAGGAAACTTATAATAAGAGCCAAGCTATTGGGTTGTAGACCCAAGATTTCACCCAGTCTTTAACACATAACCCCAGATGACATTTCTTAGTCCAACGCGAGTATGGTCCTCCAAACCAAAGGACCTCTTATAGCCCAACACCTGCCCTTTTTGGAGTGCTGCTTTCTCCAATCAATGAAATATAGATAACAGATTTTTTTTCTTCAATAAGGGGGTTTTAACAATGAATTGATTTTTGACACTTTCATAAGGAAAGATTAACAACTTTGAAATGTTTTTAAAAAGTCAGTGGAGAAGGGGGGAAGCAAGTTCTAACCCACGAGGGGTATCTCTCAGCTAAGGGAAGAACTTTATGAAACTAAATGCAACAGTTTTTCAAAACCTACTTACCCTTTTTCCTACTAGCTTTCCTAAAAACCTCTTTCTCCTTCCAGGACTAACATTCCCTTTTGGAGGGGGTAGATTTTTTCTTCCTCTTTAGGGCAATGTAGCAATCCTTTTACCTCTTCCCCATTAACCATAGGAGGAGGACCGGCTGGATGAGTAAGTACATTGTTTTCCTTTCAAAACAAAGGGGCCTAGGCCTGCTATTCTTCACTTCCTATCTTAAAGCATTGGAGCACAATCCTCCCCCACCACAGCTCAACCTTGGAGGTGGAGGCTTTGCCTGCCTTTGCAGACTGGGCTGAGGACCCATTACTTGTGCATGTAAGGGACACTAGGGCCAGGCCAATAGGGGACTATACAACGGCTGGGGCCCAGGTAGGGTGACCAGATGTCCCGGTTTTATAGGGACAGTCCTGATATTTGGGGATTTTTTCTTATATAGGCTCCTATTGCCCCCCATCCCCTGTCCCAATTTCTCACACTTGCTGCCTGGTCAGCCTAGGGCCGCCCAGGCCGGCTGGGGGGGGCTGCTGGACTCCGCCCAGGGTTGAGAGAGGGCGGCGCGGCCCTACCAGGTAGCTCAGGGAAGGGGAGTAACTAAGCTCCCCCGGCACCTTTGCTCACTGCTGCCTTACCCAGGGCAGATGCTGCCCTGCAGTCCCGTTGTCACCGGTCGCAGGGGCTCGTTGGAGCCTCTGCCTCACGGGCCCCCATCCCCAGTGCGCCTTAGCGCCAGTCTGTACTACGGGGCAGCGGTGTACAGTAGCTTTTTGACTACTCTCTTTCTGTCGTCTCTATGGCTCTTGAGCCGCTCTACCCACTCACTTCCTCTCTCTCGGTGGTTCAGAAACCGACCCAGTGTATACACAATGGGAGGAAGGCGGGCTGGAGAAGGGACCGGGGTCACGTGATCTTCCTGCGTTCTTTCCGCCCGCCATTTTACGTTGGGGTTCGCGGCGGCGCCATTAAAGCGGGAGAAGGAGGCACAGCAGCTAGGTTCGCCGCCTGGAGTACGAGCCCTCGCGGTCTTAGCCGGCAGGCGGAAGCGGGCATCCGCGCGCGCCGGTCTCGTGCTCGCCGCGGCTCGTAGGGCGCGGCAGCGTCATGTCGGAGCAGCAGTTCGGGGGGGACGCGGCGGCTGGAGCCGGAGGCGGCTCGGCGGAGCAGGCGGAGCAGCAGGAGGGGATGGCTGGGGCGGGCGGCGCGGAAGGGGGAGGCGGCGGAGGAGGAGGAGGTGGTGGCGGCGGCGGCGGCGGCGCCGAGTCGGAG